GTGGCTGTGGTTGATCGCTCTTGGTCTGGCTTGCAGGAGGGGGCCACGTGGTCTCCTGATGAAGATGGCTGAAAATGAGAAATACGTTTTATGTAGTTTGGGAGAAGGACACGGAGGACAAGGACAACATGAAGACAACACTGGTTATTTAGGAAAGAAAAGGGGAGACCATGGGTCTTGCATGGATTGTACCGGCCATCGGTTTTGTCTGAAAATGCTTTTTATAACCCTGAAATCCTGGTTTGCAAATGTCCGCTTTGTACTTAACTAAAAAACTGCTGGCAGATCTTCAGGTTGAGTTAAGGTGATCAGCTAAGGCAGTGGTAGTAGACATTTAGCTCTCAAAACACCCTTTCAGCGGATATCTTTAGGACAGGGCTCAGTTAAATATAAGCCATTTAAGAGATTTTAGGGAAATTCTTAAGATACTGAAGGTCCAAAGCAAGCCATGTTGTCCTGCTTGCCTTGTCTGGGACTTCACAGCATCTTGATACCACAATATAAAAGATTAACACATTCAGTGATGCTTTTTCCCTTACTCCGAACTCACAGTGATTGATAAAAATGGCAGCTAGACAAGCCAGAGAACCATAAATTCCCATCCGGCCTGAAGGAAAAAGAACATTTTAGAAAGACAAAAGAGAGATCCAGGAATTCACTGTGCAGGGTGGGAAGTCTCTTGCTGTCTAAGAAGGGATGTATTTCTCTGACCTGGCCACCTGGAGACCTCTACTAGATTACCTGGTTACAAATTGTCAAGCAAAAAATTTTATTAAAAAACCCAACAAAACAAACAGGACGCTTTAGTATGTGTATTGTCAAAATTACAGACCACGGGAGTTTTGACACCTACTCCTTGTAATTTGGGTTTCCTTCAGCAGGCAGGCACTGGTCCCTGTCACATGGCAAAGCTGTAAATGTAAGCACACAGCCAAATATAAGTGAAGGGTTAGAAGACATGCCCAATGCAAGTAGCACTGCTACATTATGATAATGCACATTTAAATGATGCAGGAACTCTGAAAATGCTGACACGCTCATATATCAGAGGTGCTCCTTAAAGGCTACAATTATTTTCCTTGTGTCTTGTGCTTTGAGACAAAGACAATGCTGGACCATGGCCATGTTTAGTTGGTGAATAGCATCAAGGAGTAAAGACTGGGCACTTATTTGGGGCTGTACGCTCACCTGATCATGACACGGAGATCAGAAACTCTCCTTTTGCATGGAAAGAGAGAAGCGGGGTCACATCACTGCTGCCAAGAAACGTTTATGGCTCACGGACTAAGCTCAGAGTCCCAGGCTGGGAAAGTTAATTCGGACTCCCATGGAGCTAGGTGATTTTCTCTGATTTTCTCCCATCCACAGACACGTGAGTGGAAGGGAGTCTAGGCTGACTTGTATGCCAAAGAAACGGGGAGATTACCGTTCCCTCTGACTCAGCATGGCTGTAGTCATACCTGGATGGCGTAAGGAAGGTCTGGATCTCTGGTTCAAAGCTATTGAGAAACTGGACCGGGTCCAGCAAAGGGAGCCCTAGGGCTCATAACCTGCAAGGGGAGGCTGGGGAGGGCTGAGGGAGCTGGGCTGCTTTAGCCTGGCAAAGAGGAGGCTGAGAGGCAACCTCACAGCACCCACTCCTACTTCAAGGGCAATTAGAAAGACGTAGGAGCCAAATTCATCTTGGCAGCGGCAGACAATATCACTGGGCGCAGCGGCTACAGATTGCACCTGGGGGAGTTCCGACGAGATGCTAGGAAAATCTTTTTCACAGAGCAGAATGTAGCTCGGGAACACATTATCCAGGGAGGCTGTGGATCTCCATCCTTGGAGGCTGGAAGTACACCTGGCTAAACCCACTGCAGATCTCATCTAGTGTGATGGTCCTACGTGGAGCTGCAGATTTGACTCCGGATCTCCAGCAGTCCCTTTCAACCAGAATTTCTACATTTCTGTGAAACCACCGTCCTGCCTCTTAGTTGTTTTTTTTCCCCTGGATAAATGCCTTTCTTTTGGCTCTAGGCACAAGTCAGATCCTTTGACTCCTTACACTGCAAGTCCGCATTTCAGATTCAAAGATGAGTCACATGCATACACGGAGGGCAATTACATCTCGGTTAGCATGAGAGCATCAGATACATGCATGGGAGGCTTAACTGGTATGGCAAAAAATAAGTAAGGTGGTGGAAACTGTAAATAACACTAACAGACATCCTTGAGACTTGTTTGAATTCAGGTTTCTCCAGTTAATTCAGTGCTTACCGTCCTTGTTGGAGAGGATTGGCGCTAACAGTTCTTTAGCTTCTGATAGCAAAAGGTCAACAAGATCTGAAGATGGAAGAGATGTATCTGAGACCGCGTCTGTTTTATCCTCTTCTGTTTCACTGTTGACTCTTACAGATATGGAAAGTGCCATCAATACTTCTATCATAGAATGGTCATTGAAAATCCTGGCCAGACTCTCTTGAAGGATATTCTATGTAAATTCTGTGTATTCAGGGGGGATTGCACCTCGATCGCTCAGCATCACAGGAGACTCTCTTTTAGACACACTTGCATCATTATGTTACAGACAGATATCTATGCATTTTTTCGAATTTCACAGAAACATGTTTCCTTCGTTATACTAGAAGTAATCATCTTGGAAACTTAAAAATTGGATTCCATCATTCTTAAAAAATGGCTTTTTTTTTAAGGGACTGGTCATTATCCATGAGCCTGTTACCTTTCAACAAGTTAATCAATTAAAAACCCACCAATGTTCTGATAATAGAGTTCGGATACATTTTTTTTCCAAGTAAAAGGGGATAGGTTTGGGTTGAAGGGGAGTCCAGAAGTCTGAACTCTCTCTTCTCCAACCATTCATGCAGTTGAGAGTCTTGCTAGCTCTTTGCTCACATGCTATCAGTTTCGGTAAGTGCTGATAGGAAAGGACAAGATCCTAAAGCCAAAAACTGACATACTTTGGGAAAAGAAGGTGAATCAAAACACTGTGTCTTTGAAACAACCTGCTTAGGGTCTCTGCTAACAAGACCAACTTAACCAGAGGAGTGTTTCACCTACTTATTCCCCAAAAAAGCCTGAATGGAGGCCAACCCCCACCAAGTACCAATCCACCAGCAGTCTCAAGATTGTCCTTCTCCCATGGTTTCACTTCCAAAGTGACAGTGTGTTTATAAACTCTAGGTAGGTTATGTGTAAATCACCTTCCCCTGAGAAAGGTCAGAAAAGGACATTTCATGTTGCTATTCACAATTCCCAGAAGCCATCTCCTACCTTTTGTCATCTGGTAAATGACTGGGTGTGCTCAGGACCTTGTGGACGTTCTGCCATGCAACAACAACAACAAAAAAAAAAGGTTTCAAACTTGTAGGAATGAATAATTCCTGAGAACAAACCCCATGGGTTTTTCCTGGTGATCAGATTTAATACGACAGTAATCAGCTTCTGCTTATTCATTGCCCTTGAAGCGAATATCTCAAGGCCTTTTGCAACTCAAGCAACATTCACAGCCTATGCAAATCTACAGACACATCTAAATTATGCATTTTAATACCAACACTAAAATATTTGAAATGCAACATAAAAATACTCTTCCAAAGAACAATTTTGCAGGCTACGTTTCAGCAAGCCTTGATCATCGCTACTAGCAATCCCTGGTTTCTGGATTGTACCCGCACGCGTAAGCTCTCATTACCATGCACGGTTAGCGAATTCTCAAACGCTACTGAGGGGTGTATTAAAAAGGAAGATATTTTGCTCCAGTGGTCAAAATCTTGTGATGTTTGACCCTGGGGCCAAGTCAAATCCATTTCCAAAGTCCATCCCCAAACCGCACAGGCAGCAGCACGTAGTGCTGCAGGTCTGGAAGCTCTTTAATCCTTCCTTCTCTGAAGCAGAGGACACGGCATCTACGCTTCCTTGCGCCCCACCGTTTCCTATTGGTTTCAAGAGCTCTTGGGATAGGTTACTAGTAGCTGTAGCAGATATACTCAATGCTAGTGATCCCATGGTGGCCAGTTTACTACTTACACAAGCTTGTATTCCTGGTACAGGTAGTGAAGTGGAAGAATAGTTAATTGAAAGAACTAAAGCAATTATGTGTGCGATTTTGCAGGAAATCTAGGGGGAAAAGCAGCACTGGAAGAGCAAAACTGCTCTTCAAGTTCACATTTGTTGTGTAGAGAACCAACCGTCCAGTTATACAGAGGGAAGGTCAAAACACATGATTTCGACCATCATGTCCAGGAACTAGAGCAGCCTCAACCAGAGCGTCACGGGAGGGACGGGTGAGCCAGGGACAGTGGAGCCACCAGGCAAAACCCACATCACAGTGTTTACATAGCTCTTAGGTATATGAGTGTATACGAGTTCATTCCCTAGTTTCTCTTAACCAACAGACAGTGACTTTTTAGGATGAGTTAGGATAAAAAAACACAACCCTCTCTTGCTTATGGAGCAGGAAGTTATTTGGACTTGCAAAATCAGCCTTCAGGTAAGAGGCCACGGTGATGCCACCAGCACCGGGGGCGGTTCAGCACTTCACCTGCACAA